ACTAAGGAGAGGAGATGGTCAACAGGGAAAAAAGGAAATTGCCTTTTTTTCCCCTTTTACTGACTTTTCAATTTTTGAATTTGAATTTCATTGATTTTTTTTAGGGTGCCAATGTCACCAGTCACAAAAATCCACATGATGACATGCAGCATTTCTGTAAATAAGCCTGATTCAGTATTTACTAGAGACATAAATAAAGTATAACATTTGAGTGTAGCAATTTATAGTTGTGGTGTAACAATTTTAGCCTGACATTATAGATAGGGTTTTCTAACCAGGAGGTAGAAATTAATGTTATTTGGTGTCCAATTTTGGTATTTGGCAATATTTCCTTTATAAACTGTCTCAGCAAACAACATGTTTAGATATAGTAGGATAAGACATTTTTCTTCAGCTGTAAAAAATACAAAGGGATTTTGAGCCTGATCCTATTTCAATTAAAGTCCCTGGGAACAGGAATGAGCCAATTATTCTTTCTTGAGCTACTAAATTATCCAGTACTGCAACCCTTAAAGCCTGGAGTAGTCCACTGGTTTAAATGGGGCTACTTACTTTGGTAAGCCAATGCACATGGGTAAAGGAGACAGAATTAAGGAATTAGACAGATTTGTATAACCCAAATTATTGTTAATTGCTTTCAAAAGAATACAATATTTTGCCACTATTTTCCCACTAAATTAAAACATCCAGGCAGATTAATATTTTAAAAGAGATATCCAATAGGTTTCTATTTAACAATGAAGGTTGCCAAGCTCCATCTCTTTCTAGCAGCTGGATTCTCGGATAAAATCATTTTGTATGGTATGGACAAGGCTATTCTGAAAATAGCATCACTATAAGATGAAAGATGGCAAGGACCCTTACAATACTGATTTATTTCCATGAAAAAAAGTCTCGTGATCAATGCTTAAGTAGAAGTTTTCCGTTTATATTTTCATACCTCAAAATCTCAGATGAGCTATCCAAGAAGTAAAACATTATGAAAAGATGGTGGGGGGGGAATAAACATATGAATAAATTTCCCATCCACTACTTGTATTGTTAAAAATGTGTGACGGGAAAAAATATCTAGGCATCCAAAGAACTTTTGTTTACCACCATCACACATACAGACATGCACGCATTCACAAGAAGACAAAACTGCTCAACAAACTGTTTTCTAATTGTCTTTTCTGTTTCTACTAGAAAAGTATACATACAAGATCATTTCCTAAACAGCTGTGATTTTATACATCTTGTGTAATGTTTGGCGCGCACACACACATGCTGCTAAGAGAACACCACGAGGTGATATTACACTTCTCTGATTCTAACTGCATTACATCTTGGACTTCGTATCTAATCCATTTACATGAAGCTCTCTTTTCAGTGGGCATTTTTTCCAGTAATGAGTATTCCTATACAGTCCAGCACAATGTTATTTTTAAATGAGACGACTCATATTTTATAGTCCACTAAGGAACCCATCCATTCTAATATTCAAAGCTAAATGTGAAATTCTGCTATCATAAATTTAGTAATAAAGACATCAAATAACATTTTACTGGATGTGTCAAAATGCGCATGTATGAAAGTTTATAAAACACATTTAAAGTATACAGGTTTACAATCTTCCACCCGCCTTTCTGTTACTAATTGTTTTAATACAGAAAATGATGCTGAGTATCAAGTCTAGCCCTGCACAGTTATCAATGATGGATCTGAACTTATGTTCATGCGAAGAAATCAAAAGATAAATGCCTCAATCTTGCAAACCTATTTCATATGACTCATCCTTACTTCAATGAATAGTCCTGATGATATAAAAAAGAATGATTCATATTAATCTTTCTGAAAATTTGCTTGCCTATAAATATGTGCATAATTTACTTGTTATCCTTATGTAGTTTATACATTCTGAGCAATAATAAAAGGCATGATGACTAATTTAAAGACCCCAAATCTGTCTCTTGTATATCATAAATACATAGTTCATATTTTAAAGTCTGAGCAGCATGAGGGCCATCTTAAACAAAAGAGAAGGTGGGGAGAGAGAGGGGGAAAAAAACCCAAAAACTAAAGGATAAAAAACGTTTTTTTTGATAGAACCAAACTTTGAGTTCAGTCCAGCAGAACTTGTTCACAAAAGGAGAGCTACTGACGTTGAATGAAACCAGTTCTTAATTTCTCAAAAATCAACATCATATTCTCATATTTTAGTTATTTTATGAAAATATCCAGGATATCAACTCAAAGTAGTACATCAATCAATTTTTGGTTGTGAAAATATAAACAACATTTTAATATTCCACTTTTTAACTGAGATCACAAATATACTTACTTGTTTAGAAAATGAAATTAAAATAGCTCTTCATTTGTTTTAATTATTACTTTATTCATATAACTCCAAGAGTGTGCCAATGCTATCCTTACCAGTGAAGCTTCAAAAACACACCCAAGTAACATTAAAATATTTTAATCTGGATAGATCTAGATATTAAGTAGACATCTGTGAGAAAGAAATGCATTGTGTGCTGTTACCAGTAGTTCATTTATAAGTGGCAGGACTATCATATCCAGCACCAGTCTCATACAAGTCCAAATGTCTGCAGTGTTGCATATATAATTGAAATACTGGGAGCTGAAATAAAGTAAGAACCTCTATATTACGTGTGGCACTATAACGTAATATAATAGTTCTTTACCATCCGGTAGAATAAAAATGATAAATTTTAGACAGACATATAATATACGGTGACTGGCAATTATAACCAAAGAGAAGAGCATATCTACTTATATTCTTGAATAACCATACACAGAAAATCCCCCAAAATGGTACTAAAACATGCAACCAAAATACTACAAACAGCCTACATGACTGTATCAGCTTTTGGGGTTTTTAAATGAATCATTCAGGTTTGCATTTCATTCAGTATGGACCTATTCTATTATGTTGAGTTCCCATACTTTTCTTTATAACATATTAAAGCCTTTTACATTGTCAAAGCAGTGACATTGATCAAATGGCTGAGGATTTTTCAAATGAACACTGGCCAAACCTTTAGGATTTTTCTTTAGGAAAACATGTTATAATTGCATTGGACTGATTACTACAGCATACAAGAAACCCCCTGGTCAAGATACATGTCCTAAAATATTTTCTGATGCCAAATGTACAGAAGAGTGGACTAAGAAAAAGTAACTGGCCAACAATGAGCTGTTTATGAAATCTAAAAGTATATAGCCTTGGACACGCAAAATTCTTCCCACTGAACACCAGATCGATATCATCATCACAGACCAACTTTTCACAGACACCTAACAGGGAAAACTGTGTGTCAGAAACACTGGGGAAATGTCAGACGTCAGGCGCCAAAGCGTCTTTGGCTAGTCTTTTTCTTTTCTTTTACTATCTTTCTTTTCTTCTATTCCTTCCAGCTCTCTATTTATTGTTTTTAAACCTAAAATTATGTATTCTTATTCGTATCCTTTTTGCTTTGTTTTTCTCCATTGATAGTATGCACTGGTGAGCAAAGCATCATTCGGCAATCGGTTGTTAAAAGCAGTAACCTAACATGGTTTTCGGACGCACCTGTTACATCAGTACTTTTTACAAAGCAAGTCTTCCAGTTAGCCTCGTGCGCTGTCTCCTAAATGAACTAAAACTTATTTCCTCTGATCTCATTTAAGGGAATTACCTTGTTATGAAGGCTAGGCAAACATAGCAGATTAGTTCTATAATATTTCACTGACTTGATTTAAACAAGAAAGTAACAAACAGACAGCAAGCAGACAAGGTCGAACAAATAGGTGCTATTTCCTAAATAATAATAATAATAATAATGGTATTGTCTTATCATGTATTCCTTATCATTAAAATAATACCTTATTCTATTAATTTTTGTGACTTAAAACAGCACAAGTAACTGTGAAGGTAAGTGGTAAATATGCAGTGAATAGACTTCCAATTTTTAAAAACAATATCTGTTTTATATCATAGTGAAATTTTAGCCATCATAATACTAGACAATTATAGAACATCTTGAGTTTGATTTCCATCTTTCTTTACATTTCTACACACTAGATGTATTTAAAAAATGAGGATTCGCTGTATGACACGTTTTACTAATTCCCCGAGTTAGACAAACGCCCCGGCCCTATAGTCTAAGCGAACGTAGCAAGGATTTCACCAACTGCTACAGTGGCATTGGGTTTTGTGTGGTTGTGCGAACTCTTTGTTTTTGCATAGCACACCGTTGCGTGCCACTCTCTCCCTCCAAGCACATAAAAATGATGCTCATCTGTGCGCTAGTAAAACGGCGACGTGTATTCTGCTCAGAAGATATTAAACGATGCTCACACGCTTCTCTTTTTTTTCTTTTTTGCGTGTGCCTACCTTTTTGCGCACATCCCCAGAACCGAATTCACTTCTAACCCACCCACCCGCAGTTGTGAGGAGAGGCAGGACTTGAAACGACTGGGTAAAAAAAAAAAAAAAAAACCCAAAAAACTCATCCTTCTGCACACAGCAGAGCAAGGAAATTTCAGCCCAGCATCCCACAATGCAGAAGTCATGGACCATTCAGCTTTGTTTTCCTTGGGTGAAATGCAGTCCTCCACTTAACAAGTTACCTACTACAGCTCAACCCACATCAACTAAGTGCCTCAAAGGGAGAGGAATAATAATAATAATAATAATAATAAAGTCATCGGCCCATTTCTTGTCTCTTTCAACCCCTAGCTGAGATGAAAACACAATGTCCTGGGGGTCCCCCCTGTGCTTCGTCCTTCCTCGCAGCGCTCATAAGCGGAGACGGCCCCTGGTGCTTGCGAGGGCGCACGCCCCCGCCTCCGGCCGGCCCGGCCACGGTCCCCAGCCCCCGGGGCGCTGCAAGGGGAAGGGGAAAGTGAAGGGGAAGGGAAGGGGCTCTTCCCTTTTGCTCCCACGGCTGCGCGCCCGGGCGCGGGGGTGGGCAGCGCGAGAAACTTTGCGGCCGGGGGAGCCGCCGGCGGCAACTCACGTTGTGGCGGACGGGAAGGGTCCCTCGGAGGAGCGGGTCCTGCCCGCGGCTTGCAAAAGTGCGAGGAGGCTGAAGAGGAGCCGCCAGCCAGGAGCCATCTTCCCCCGCGAGGCTCGCTGCCCTTCCCGGGCCGGCGAGGGGCAGAGCCGTC